TTTTTTGTAATAAAAAAAATAGTTTGAGATAAATTCGTCATATGTGCATCAATTTAGGGTTTTTCCTGATATTAAACCTTTCAAAATCCATCCTGATGTGGAGAGTTTCATTTGGGCTTGTCTGGTTATCGGGAGTAAAACCAGCTGAGTGAAATTAGGATCATGATTCTCTTTATTGCCAATGTTTGGTGAATTAGAATGAGACTGAATGGAAATGAAACTTGAGAAAGAAAATTGTTGCATTATTGCATTTTCGTTACTATGGAGTAGTGGTGGTAAAATAGGCCTAGAACCCATATTTGATAATGCACGTCATAAATGAGTTGCATTCAATTTTAGAAACAGACTTAACTGGGTCATAAATAGGTTTCTTAACAACTTAATAAGTCTTAAATGATTGATAAAATATCCCATGTGAAAAATGGAGAACAAACACATTTCTAACCCATATCAGGTGGACTTAATGATTTCGGGCCTATTTTATTTTATTTTTATTTTTGTCAAATTTTTGAATTTTTTAAATAATTTTATTTTTTTTTCTACGAAATCTGAGTGACCAGCGAGGGAGGGTCAGGAGATAGGAGGCCCTCGCCTTTGACCGGTGCGGGTCATCTTAGAAGGAAAAAAAAGGAAAAAGTAAAAAAGAGAAAGGAAAAAAGAAAATATAAAATATAACAAATTATAAAAATTGTCAATTAGATTTGTATTGTATGGTAGTGTTTTAGCAATATGATTTTTTTAAAAAATCATAAGAAATAATTTTTTCTATATTATATTAAATATGAAAGTATTTTAGTAATATGAGTCTAGTTGAGTATGAGTTGAGAAATTTGCATTACAAATAAATTGGTCATCAACGGGTTAAAATGGGTCAATTTAGGTTAGGTCATTTATGACCGACCCAAACCAGACCTTACCTACCCATTTGACAGGTCTACTATGAAATAAGGTCGTGGAGGTAGGTGAGAATGAGCGAGAACAAGGACAAGAACAAGTCAATGCAAAAGACGAGTAGATAATGGATCTTTATAGCTAACCGTTGGTTCGGTAACTTTTATGAACAACTGTAACTTGGTAAGCACACTTAGCTCATTTGCTTATATCTTTAGAAATTTGAAACAATATTCAAATCATATAAAGCTATATTCCAATTTCGATGTGTCACCCAATGTGAAGAATTTCAAATTACTATCAATTCTCATCCCTCATAATTCATTTCGATTTCCTTAAAATCTTATTTTGATCGTCTCCTTCCTTTTCCAAAAGAATCCAAAATCAAATAAAACATGGGCCGCACTATTTCCACAGCTTGAATGTCGAAACACACAGCATTTTGATGGTGATCAGACAAGAATACCCCTAGAAACCACCCCCTTTTTTTGTTGAACACGACGTGGATGACCGCTTGCAGCCTTCCGCCATTCCTCCTTCGTCACCGTAACGAGCATAACTTAAATGTGCGTCTTCCTGAACCACTCTGCTCTGTTTCTCTCTCGGCTCTCTCTCCATTGATATGAAGAATCCTCATCTGCTCGACCTTCTATGCTCAATCCGAGAATGTAGGCTTTGAACGCATGTATGGTCAGAGTCCCCTTCCAATCAACCAAACCTTGTGTGAACAAGGCCTCGGAATCGGAGGGAATTTGGTTGAAGATGAGGAAGTTACCTAAAAAGGTAAATGCTAAAGGGTTAATACAGCAAAAAATATTAAGTTGGTACACTCGAGTGTACCATTCCTTACGAATATGTCGAGTACGGGCCATTACACTCAAGCCAATAATTTATGAGCTAACTAAAATACTTTAACTACTCTTTACCATATCAATTCTCCGATATGTAATTTCTTTTTAACATATTTCACATATATGCACCTTTGACAAGAGGATTTTGGGGATCCGATCTGTACGGATTCTTAAAAGGACCTGGTTTTACAATTCTTTTATTGAGAAAGGAAATCCTCCAATGGTGACATTACAAGTGATGTAATTTGCTGTGGCCCCACTATCAAGAACTGTTTTTCTTGTCGCCGTAATTTGTTGTAGCAGAAGTCAAATAAGGGTAGTTCTTTTGTTCAATGTAAAAGTTGTGGTTGCAGGAGTATTAGTTGCTGAAATAGTCGTATAATTTTCTTTATAAAAAATTTGAAGAAGGTTACATATTTTACTTAAATTGTCGGGAAAACCTCCATATGCTATTTGGAAGATGGCAAAATAATCTAATACTAAGAAGTGCTTCATTGTTTGATAGATGCAGATTGTGTTGTAAATAGGGTCGTCGAAACGAGTGAGTGCTACGCTGTTATTAAGGGTGAACAAGATATTAGATGCCAAGGTATCTAAAAGTGGGATGAACATGAGTAGAAGGCGAACAAGTATGATGGAATGAGGAGTTCATGGGAATTTGGATGAACCATGCAAAGATTAACAGCTGAGGAGAACCAGGAAAGTCAATATGCTTGGAAGGACCAAATGATAGCAGGTAAATAGTCACATTTCAACATAAAGCGTGAAAACCTTGGAAGAACAGTTGGCAGAGTCAGCTCCCGCAATCAATAGAGTAGAAGACATGCCAAGTGCTTCTATTATCTGGATAAGAAAACCTGGACCTCTTTTTAATTAATTTGAAATTCAAATTAGAGGCAAATGGCTAGTTTCAGAGTCTAGGAGGTTCATCGAAGAAAACCTGGAGTTGAACAGGGCAGTTTACTTCCTTTGTCAATGAGACATTTAAGGAAACCTCACTTTTGTTAATGAGAAGCAGACTGTATAGGCAAACTGCACGCCGACAATTGTGTTTCCACATCCAACGGCTCTTGGATGACCTTGAGGAGCGTCCAAAGGCAACTTTGAAGATTGGAAGTTTTTAAAAAAGGATTCAAAGCTTGCTGAAGGACTTGGAGGAATTTTTGAAAGTCATCTTGCTCTCTTTTTTGTCTTAAATTCATGTCGTGCTCACAAACTGAATATGTTTGTATTTGTGATTCTCTCAGAAAGTGCTTCCTCGCTTATTGTAATCAGTGATCAGAAAGTGTTAGGCTGCGCATGGCAATCATTCTGTGTCCAGGAACAGATTCTAATCGGAAATGATTCTTTTTGATTCTGTGCCCGGTAACTGATTCTGACCATTTGAAGGCGTTTGGTAATGGCCCAAAATTTCTATTCCTGAAATAGTAAAAGAACATAAATGCGTTTAGTAACGGCATAATTTTTTTTATTAATAATATTTTAAATATTTTAATATTTCTTTCTTTTCTTTTTTTCTTCTCCTTCTTCTTGGCCATGACCGGTAAAATATTTTTTAATTAATAATAATTTTATTAAAAATAATTTTTTTTATTATTTTTGGTCATGGCAGGTAAAATTTTTTTCATTAATAATATTTTTTCTTTTTTTTGGCCATGGCCAGTAAAATATTTTTTATTAAAAAATTTTTATAAAAAATATTTTTATTGAAAATATATTTTTTATTTTTTTTGCCATGGCCGGTAAAATATTTTTTTATTAATAATATTTTTTATTAAAATATTTTTTTCCTTTTTTTTGGCCATGGCCTGGTCGCCAGCCATGGCCGATAAAATATTTTTTTATTAATAATATTTTTTTTTCATGGCCTAGTTGTTGGCCATGGCTGGTAAAATAATTTTTTTTCATGTCCGGTAAAATATTTTATTATTAATAATATTTTTTATTAAAATATTTTAATCTCGCCAGATACGGCGAGGGTGTTCCTCGCGCCGGACATTAGAAGCTACATTAAAAACCAAGAAAAAGAAGAAGAAAAAAAAATTGATTCTCATTTTTGTTCCCAAAATCAAGAAGCTACTTTTTTATTTATTCTTAATTCTGCTCTAAAACTGATTCTGGGCACAAATTTGCAAGAATTTATGCCCAGAATAAACAAATTTAACAAACGGATTTCTGTTCCAAAACTGATTCTGGGAACAGAAAAATATAAATTTTCACTATTTGGCCAGTTGCCAAACAGACCCTTAGTGTTATAAAGGTGCTTGCAATTTCAAAAATTTATCTACTAGCTTTTTAGCTAAAGCAGCACCTACTTATATATGTAATATCCTGAAGATTATCAGTGGACACCAACTTGATTCATGGCTGTTAATTCGGCAGAGTGAAACGCAGACTTAATACAAGCTGAATCACTATAATTTTACTTGCATGATTTGAAACTCAACACTTTTTTATGTTTGATAGAAGTATCCTCCATGCATAAATTATTTTTGCTTTCGCAACAGTTTTTTTTTTTTGTCAAGTTTCTGCCAAAGTTTATTTGCAAGTATTTTGCAAAAAAAAATATAAATTTATTTAAGAGAAATGGAGTGTCAACATTTGTAGAAGTGAAATTTCAAAGAACAAGATGCCAGCTTAAAGTTTGGGGTAAATGTGTAGTTGTGTAACCAAAAGGTACGTGGAATTGCACAATTTTTCAGATCTTATTAACAAGTGTCTTGAGTAATTAATTAGATATATATTTAATAAAGATACATTCAATTTTTTAAATAATGGTTAAGCATGTCACGAAGATAATCAATGGATTAAAATATATTTTGTATCAATTATTTAAGAAATCAACGAGTACCTTGATACTTTTTCCCAAGAGCAAGAATTGATAAGGGCGCGAATGGTAACCATTCTGCTCCAGAAATTAAATTCTTGCCAGAAATTGATTTTTGGAAGAGAAATCTGTTTGATAAAACATGACTAATTCTGCTTCAGAAATTTGTATGCGTGTTCATCTCATTTTGCATCAGCTGATTTTGCGTGTCATACTAACTGTTCGATAAAATTATTGAGTCAAGTGGTGACGATGACCCTGCAACGACCTTGTTAAGTGAAGTAAAGGAGATTCTATTATAGTAGGAAATCTGTCAAGTGAAGGTTGTGACAAATGAATGCAATCTGTTCGCAAGGCTTATATATTTTTTCACTTATTTTGGCAGGCTTGCTGCTTTGTGCTCCAAAGTTGGATCTCAAAGAAGTTTATGACTGGATGGTAACATGTTTTTGTTGGGGAAATCAAGCAATGTGGTGAGGAAGAAGAAGTTTCTGGCTTTCATAATTGGCTTCAAGTAACCTATCTAGCAGCATTTTCCTTTCTTTCTGTCTTAGACTTGGAATCATCTCGCATGTGTCTTTCCACCGTGACAGAAGTAAAATATAGTGTATGATATGAACAAAGTCCAAGTTGCAGTTTTTTTTTTTTTGGTCTGAGTTGCAGTTCAGTTTTGTCTTATTTCTTACTTTCTTTTTTTGTCCTGCCTGTCCAGTTTTACCTAGAAGAGGCAAAAGGAAGAGTTGATTATCAAGGATACATTTTTCCTCGATGCCGTGGGGTGATTGTAAGTAATAGCAATCCTATCATATCTATCTGTAATTTAGGTCCAATATTAATTGGTGATCACCCAGGCTTTAGGGTATATGTTCTACTATAACTGGTTGTTCTATTTTGCATGTTTTTTTCTGTTAGATTCTCCTCACAACTGTACTAAGCGTTCCCTTTTAACATTGAAGCACTGTGACATGCTGCATTCTGTGGAGATCCTTTTCTATTGCAATATGCCTCCATATGCAGTGCATCAACAGGGTATTGTTCAGTACGCTCTGTTTTCCATGTTCTGATCCCCTGATTTATCTAAATGCGAATTAACAATTACTGTATTTCCAAGTGGAGCGGAGCATTTTGCCTTCTGTTAATATGGTATATATTGAATGAATTAATGGGGTAGATTACTCTTACAATTGATTCAGGAATGTTTAGCTAACGTGTGATCTTTTACTTAAGTGCATTTTCAACTACTAATTTCTCTCGTCATTGCACTTGCAGCCGGACTCCGAAACCCAGTTACTGTGTTCCATTACTGTGTTCTTTTCTTAATTCAACCTGGCATGTTTGTACAACGATGCAGAGGCCTTGTTTAGTCATCTGTCGTTGCATAGTAACAGTTGCGTAGATGATGGTTTCGTTGCATAGTTTTGTTGATAGCACATAGCAATTATTGGGCAATGATGGCTTTTGTTGATTCTAGAATGTTAATTATTTTTGCTGATTGCTAGATGTCTTCGTCGACGGATTCTAGCCACACAAATAGAAGGAAGAGATCCATTATGTGTGGTCACTTTAAAAGGCTTCCATGTACAGACAAGAACCAAGAAAAGGCTGAATGTTTATATTGCGGGGTCCACATTGGTTGTTCTAATACTCAAGGGACTAGTTCAATGCATCATCATTTAGATAGATGTAAGGAATATTCATATGCAAACATCGAGAAAAGGCAAAAAAATGCCTCAGGTCAACCTGTTGGGGTTGGTAGTTCACTATGGAAATTTGACCAAGATGCTAGTAGAAAAAAAACTAGCGACCATGTTCATTCTTGGTGAATTGCCCTTTAAGTTTGTAGAAAATGAGGGTTTTCGGCGATTTGTGTATAGAATCCGGCCAAAGTTCTCAATCCCTACGCGTAACACGTTGAGGAGTGATTGTTATGCATGGAAAGAAGAAAATTGATGAAATATTTTGCCGACACATGTCCTAGAGTTTGTTTGACGACCGACACATGGACCTCTTGTCAAAATTTGACTTATATGTCTCTCACTACTCATTTTGTCGATGCTGATTGGAAATTGCAAAAGAAAATCCTAATTTTTTGTCAAATCCCGGGTCATTCTGCCGAGATAATAGGAAAGACGATTGAGAAATGTTTGACTGGTTGGGGGATTCAAAGTATTTTTTCCATCACCGTGGATAATGCAAGTTCAAATGATTTAGGAATTCAATACTTGAAAAGAAGACTTAACTCTTGGAACACTCTGGTATTAAGAGGTGAGTTACTTCACATGAGGTGTTTTGCTCATATATTGAGTTTGATTGTGAGAGAGGGGTTAAAAGACATAAATGATTCTATTGTTAGAATACGTTCGGCTATACGTTATGTGAGGTCTTCTCCTGGGAGGTTGAGGCGGTTTAAGGATTGTGTTGCACTAGAGAATATTGAGTCCAAGAGTCTGGTATGTTTGGATGTGGAGACTCGTTGGAACTCGACATATATGATGTTGCAGGCGGCTTTGAAGTTTCAAAAAGCTTTTTTCTTATTGGAAATTCAAGATAGCAAATTTGTTGAAGAACTGTCCAAGGCGAAAGGGTTGCCTACTAGTGATGATTGGGATTATGCCCGTCACCTTCTTCCTTTCCTGAAGTTTTTCTTTGATACGACTTCAAAAGTTTCGGGTTCTTCTTATGTCACTAGTAATGATTTGGCAAAGGATGTCTATGGGCTTTTTGGGATGATTAATGAATATTGTGAGAATGAGGATAAAAGTTTGCAGGAAATGGCTAAAAGAATGAAGACCAAATTCAGTAAGTATTATGGCAATGTGAACAACATCAATCTTAATTTGTTCATTGCTTGCATACTTGACCCTCGACATAAGTGGGAATATGTGAAATGGTTGATTAATGATGTTTATGAGAGCAAGCAAGCAGAAATTTTACATAATAAAGTAACATCATCGCTGACATCATTGTACGAGCAAAATCACACTGGTAAATACCTGCAAGGCAACTTGAGATTAAAGGGTACAAGGACAGTAAATGTGTCAAAGTCTTCCGCGGTTGGTGCGGATTTTATGACTGCAAAGTATCTTAGCCAAACGGGACAACAAATTTTGGAAGAAAAATCTGAATTGGATAAATATTTGGAGGAACGATGTGAACGTTATAGCCCCGACTTTGATATCTTAACTTGGTGGAAAGTTAATTCTTCAAGATATCCTATCCTCTCTTCCATTGCTCGAGATATTTTGGCCGTACCAGTCTCGATTGTAGCATCAGAGGCCGCATTCAGCACGGGAGGTCGTGTACTCGATGTCTTTCGTAGCTCCTTGACCCCAAGAATGATGGAGGGTCTTATATGTGCTCAAAATTGGCTACGATCCTCGCCACTTTCACTTTCAATTGAGGATGACTTAGAAGAACAAGAAAATTTTGAGTCAGGTCATAAAACATAATTGTGGAATATTTATTCTTTTCTATATTACAATGGATACTTAAGTTCGCATTTTGATTGTGAAGTTAATGCAGAGTGTTCAACTACAATTATGGAGCCGAATTCGATATCGGTTTCTCTTGATGATTGATGAAGTTGGAAATTGGTACTTGCTAAACCAATTTTTTTTATTCTTATTGCAAATTTACTTTTTCATATTCAGATTAGGCATTTAGCAATTGTTGTCTTCTTCGTTTCTTACTTGCAGGTTGTATAGCATTGGAGCTGCTGGGTGGAGTTGCTTTGGTTTGGTTTGCTTTGGAGTAGATTTGATCCACTTTTGGTGGAGTTGCTTTGGTTTCTCTTTGGATCACTACGACTATCAACAGAATGCTGGCATCCGGCTAGTGTTAAAGAAGTTGTTCATTTACTTGAGCTGATCTATACAGAATGCTTCACAAATTGTACTGATCAGACTAATCCTAACTGCTGTAGCAGTTTCTATCGTCTGACTAATTCTTTGCTGATTTCAGATCTTAGGACAATGTTGAAACATCCAATTGAATTCAAATGAAATGTTTGAATAGTTATTTGACTGGACATTAGAGACATTTTCCCTTGAGATCACTGGTTTGTCATTTTTTCTCTATTGGGCATGGGTAGATGCAAGAGTGCATGATCATGGGCCTGCTCAAAAGTAGTTCCAGCAATCGCACAATATGGAATTGACCCTACCACACCAGAAAACAAGAAAAGGCACGTAATTCATGCTTTGTGTAAGCCTCTTTCAGAATCTCTCTTGGGTTCTCAGGAGAGTTTATATTCTGGTGCTGCCCTATGTCTAAAAGCCCTTGTGGACTCTGATAATTGGCGGTTTGCATCAGACGAGATGGTCAATAGAGTCTGTCAAAATGTCACTGTTGCTTTGGAAGAGAAACCTACTCAAACTAACTCGCATATGGGTCTTGTAATGTCATTGGCAAAGCATAATGCCCTCATTGTTGAAGCCTATGCAAGACTGTTAATACAATCGGGACTGCAGATCTTGCATACTGGAATTTCCGAGGGGAATTCTCAGAAACGATTATCTGCCATTTAGATGGTGAATTCTCAGGCGAACAAGACAACCCAAGTTCTGTTTTTGGGGTGTCCTTCTTAAGAGAAGATGTAGGTAGTCAAGCAAAAATCTAAAACACGAACCCGACCTGAACACGACCCGACCCGATCGCACAGCTATATCATGTTCGGGTCTTGTTTCGGGTTGGGCCAAGCAAACATATGCATTGTTTCGGGTTGGGTCGGGTATCATGAAAACCTGACCCGACCCGACCCGTTGACACCCCTACATGTGAGGTTGACCCTCGCCCGCCCAGCCCAGGTAAGGGTGGCCCTCGCCCGACGCTGGCGAGGGCAGCCCTCCGCCTGAGGACAGAAACCTCCGCTGGCCCCAGCTATGGCCGGCGGAGAGAAAAGAGGAAAAAAAAAAAGAAAAAGGAAGAAAGAAACAAAAAAAATTTAAAAAATAAAAAACGAAATTGCCCTTGTTTAGATCGCCGGAACGGTCACGTGCTTGTCGGCCAATGGGCATTTGACTAGCCGGCGAACTCAGGTCCTTATTTGAGACTAATTGGGCACTTTGGATCCTTATTTGAGATTGATTGGGCACTTCAGGCCCTTATTTGACATTATGTTAATTTTGGATCATTTTTGAGAAAATGACTTAATTTTGAGTTTTGATTTGAAATTTTCCCTAGAATAGTACTACTAAACGCCACGTCTAAAGTGCGGATAACTACACAAGTCTCGCTTGCCCGGGAAAGACGCTAGCAAGAATGTGGGGACGACGATTCGACACACGTACACGAGACCGACATAAACATCTGATCCGAGGGGCAGTTTCGACATTTCGCCTTTTCCCCTTGTGGGGTTCGAGGAAAATGACGGGAAATTACGAGGAATTTGGAGGATTCAGTCAGTAAAATTGACTTCTGCTTTTTTTAATTAGGAGTCGTTAAAATTTCAAGACCTTTTAAAAAAAAAAAAAAGTTTCCCGACCTTCGAATTTAAAATATTTCGTAAAAAAGTGAGCAAAGACCACACGACCGGCGGCCGTGCTTGGTCTGGTCCAAATTGCGCGTGGCACGCGGGCGGACACGGAGAATAGGATTCCTTTTCGGCAACGCGGCTGATATCCTGCAATAACCTGCGATCGCTTCTGCAGAGCAGGCCAGACCTGTGAGCGAGAGAGGGAGGTGATGGACTCCACATCGTTTGTGTTGGCTCTCGCGTTTTGCTTTATCGCCGTCGCTTCCAGGTCGCCCACACAGCCTGTAATTTTTATTGCTACGGTTGCTCTTGCAGCTATTGCCAGCGCCGGTGCTCGCAAGAGGAGAGAGCCGGTTAGCTCCGCCTCTTCTTCTCCTTCTTCTTCTTCTTTTCTTTTGTATTTTTGGGTTTTGTCTGTTTACGGACTGTTGATTTAGCTGGTATATGCTTAGACCTGCATCTTTCCTTTGGACTGCAATGAAGGATTTACTGGAACGTTTCTTGATCTTGACTTGGTCTTCAAATCAGCTGCATCTCATATCTTTTTCAGAAAATCAGCAATGAGCCTAGATCCAATGGGGTCAACTCTTCTTCTTTTGATTTTTTTTTTTCTAAAGCAACTCTGTTGTCTCAGATTAGAACATCCTAGTCAAACCAGTCAGCCTTATGCCTCTACTTTTTGCTTTTGCAAGTCTGCGCGGGAATTATCTAAACTGCAGTGGTTGCTTGTGATAGAGTTCGGTTCTTTCATTTTACAGGATTTGGTCTCTTCACCACCACTGCCACCGTCGTCGTCTTCTTCGTCGTCATCGTCC